TATTGGATTTAATTTTTCTTTTAAAACCACATGAGGTTCTAAAAACGGGAAAATCCAAAAAAAAAAAATCTTTTGAATTTCAAAATTCTAAATTAATTTTATGCATTATAATTTAATAGCAATTGATAACACTTAGAAAGAAACACAACAATTTTTATAGTAATTCTTAGTTTCGGATTCTGAATTGAAGAAGTATTATTTTTGTTTTTTAAAAAAATTCCTTTGAAAACGGGGGAGAAAAAGCACAAAAATATATCCTCAAATTTGCAAATCTGAGCCCAATTCGAGATCCCAAACATACCCTAATCACCGTGAAGTTTCTAGGGGTTAGTCTAGGATTAAATTTTCTAGCAAAATTATATATAAAAGCCTTAACTATCACTATCTTAAATGTTTTCATTTGATAAGTTAAATTTGTTACTTATTAAATTGTCGTTATTATTGATATTTAACAACCTATTAATACTAGTTAATGCAGAAGTAAAATTAGTTGTTGCTATCTTAATTTATCATTTGATAAGCTAAACTAGTTACTTATTAAATTGTTGTCGTTTCATTTTTTTTCATATTTCAAATCAAGCGTTTAGTTATAAAAACTTATTTTCAAACTAATTCTTAATTAAAAACTTTACAGTGACTAGGGTATAATTTGGAGTCTCGATAGTATTTTCAGATTCATGGTGCTTTTATGTCGTTTTCCCTTGAGACAAAATTAACAATCATATCGATATATATGGTTCATATCAACTAAAAGAATTATTTGGAGAGTAAATTGTAAGAATTTTACGATTTTATTGAAATTGCATGGCTTTTCTTTTCATTTTTTAACATTCACACAAACTTTCCCAAGAGCAAAACATTAATTTCTATTAATCTCCCTTTCGCATTTTTTTTCCTTTTTCTATTTCCAAAACAGTTTTTAACAAGACAATAGGAAGCACTAATGAAGAAAAGCAGTTTTAAAACAAGTTAAAAAGGTATTTTAAAACCATTTCTTCAATTGGTGTAAAGAGAGTCTAACTAATTATTGAACCTATGCAGGAACAAACTATTCTACGCCGATTTTGCCAACCGGCATAAAAAAAGGTTAATCAAAACAAAAAATACCTTTCACTTTTGGCAGTAAAGAAAATCACACTATCCACCTCGATGTAGAAAATCCAAATTGACCTGGAAAAGGGATTTTCTACACCGATTATTGTTAACTCTCATAAGCACTTAAAAAAATTTTTTTACATAAACTAAAACAAAACGTTTTTCAAATACTTACCTTGGATTTCGTAAAATTATTTTCAAAAAATAATTCAAACACCGCCTTAACTAATATAGAGCAATTGTTTAACCAAGGTAAAAAGTCACAATCTTGCTTCTTGTCAATGAAATTATCACCAATTATGCTTTCTGCACCGGCTATATACTACAATAGGTGTAGAAAAATCGCCGTAAAAAACATATTTTACAGTAGTGAAGACATTGAGGATAAGTTTGATTTTGTTTATGACACAATTAGTCATACCATTATTATGATTATTATTATTATTATTATTAGTCTCAATTCCTTATATTTTCAAATGAACTACAACCTCAATTATTTTACCCTTAATGAATGATATAGGCAATATGGTTCATATAATTATTCTACCTTTATCTAATACTCCTATTAATGGATTATTATATATATATATATATAAGTACGCGTGAATATTAGGCAGACAGCACACATGACCAAAGTAGTTGAGGAAAAAAATTTTTGCGACGGAGCTTGCCTAGTCTGTGTGGTCCACATCAATTAAAAGAAATTTTGCGGGTGAATTATAACAATTTTCTAAGATTTTAACAAGGATTTCATTTCTTAACTCTTTCTTGAAATATAACAACTTTTCAATATATACATTTTAAAAATAATTATCTACACTATAATAAATGAATGATAAAATAGTAGGTTTATCTTAAAAATTTAACGGGGTGACTTGTAAATAGAACTAAGAAAAACCATTTAAATAGGACAAAAAGAGTATATATATATATATATATATAACACAATTTAAATATAGGAAAACACACAAACATGTTAATATCAAGTTTGAGTTTGTGACCTCATTCAGACGTGATCAGGAACGTTGCTACTAAGATAAGTTGCTGTTAATGAATAATATAATATTTCAGGTGATAGTAAGAACTCGCATGTGGCAGCAAAAGATGAAGGGGTCATTGTGGATATAACATGGCCTCCCTCGCATCCAAGAGCAATTTATTCAAGCTTGACAGTTTCTGGGGAAGTCTTGGAGAAACTAAGGCCATGTTTGGAGAGTGGCAAGCTCAAAGCTGTGATTGATCCCACAGGTCCCTTTGCATTTAACGACGTCGTTGAAGCTTTTCGATATCTTGAAACCGGACGAGCTTGGGGAAAAGTCGTCATCTCCAACTTCCCTTCTTGACAATAATAACACCACTTTTCTCTTATAAATTATAAATTATATTAATTAATTGCTATCGATGGTTATTGATTATTCCTCTATATATAAAAATGGGAAATGGCTTTCATTGTAATTTTAATAGCCAAATATACATTGTACTTTTTACCTAAGGTAATAATATATCCTTTTTAAACAGTGGGCTTTTGAGATTATTTTACCTCATAATTGTCCGAAGGCTTGATGAAGAACAGTTTTTGGAGAAATAAAGAATGAGTGAAATTGAATTAATGGAGTTCATTTGGGTTGGGCTAAATCCATATTCATGAATGAGAAAGCCTAGGAAAAACATTGGGCATTAGGGCCCATTTTATGGTTAAAATAACAGAGAAGGCCTTGAATGCCGGCCCAAAGGGAGATTGGGTCGTTATATATGGGGGAAAATTGCACGTGGAAAATTCATTCAAGGATGTACTGTGTGTACCCAAAAAAGGACTTACTGTTGAACACCAATCGGAATTGAATATAATGAAATGGGTTAGTTTCTTGTAATGTAGTGAACCAAAATTTACCTAATCACTAAACCAGCAGCTTCCTCCACCCTGAAACCTTGCCGTTGAGGAAGTAATGATTGCAAGGATAACACTTGCTTGAACGACAACTCAGGGGAAGCAAATCCTTTCTTCTTCCTTCTTTGCTTAACAAAATCCTACCGGATTCATGTGCAAATTTATTTTGAAAATTTTCGCACAAGGATGTTAGGTTTTTTTAAGTTTTTTTTTATGTGCAGATTTGTTCTGAAAATTTAAAATTGTAGCAATTTTTCCTACTGCCTAAAAACTAATATTGGCCTTAAAAAAATGACGTTAACTATTAACATTTTTAACTGTAGTAGGTAACAATGCAACGATTTTAAGCTTTTCAAGGCAAATTTGTATTTAAAAAAATTCTAAAAACGTATTACTCTTAAATGAAAACTTTTTGAACAAATTCGTACCTCAACTCAAATCTCATATTCATCTTTAGACAAAAGAGGCTGAGATTTAATATTTTAACTATTCAAAACATGGTTTGGCCAAAAAAAAAAAAAAACTATTCAAAACATGGGGGACTTGAACCTTATTCAGTTTGTAAATACTAGATAATTTAATTTTCTAAATTATATTTGGCTATGTTGCTGTTGACATCCCCTAAATATATGTATTTAATTTAATTTAATTTCATTGATATTATTAATATATATAATTTAACTTAATTTTACGCTATTTAACACTGCATATGTATATCTGTTTTTTGTAAATACTAAATAATTTAATTTTCTAAATTGTCACAAATAATAGGAACTAGGGGTGTTCAAGGCCGGCCCGTCCCGGTCGGCCCGTTCCGGTCCCGGTCTTATTGGGACGGGACGGATCCGTCCCGAAATTTTTCGGGACGGGACAAACCGGGACGGGACGGGACACGGGACGGGGTCGTCCCGTCCCGGTCCCGTCCCGGTTCCTTTTTTAAAAAAAAAATTAATTTTTTTAATTTTTTATATAATATCATTTTTTCATATTTTTTAAAGATTTGAGACTATTGTATAGAATTATGGATATATTTATTTAGAGTTTTTATATTTGTTAATGATTTGAGATTATTGATGATTAGAATTTTTAGCAAGTTTTTATTGTGTTAAAAGCTTTTGTTTAGAGTTTTTAATAACTATTATATGTAATATTTTGAGCTTTTGTTTAAGAGTGCCCAAACAAATAAAAAAGATGTTTTTATAAGATTTAAGCTCAAAAAAATATAATTAAAAAATCAGATTTTTTTTTTAAAAAATTAAAAAAATTAAAAAAAATTAAAAAATAATAATTTCAGGACGTCCCGGTCCCGTCCCGGATCCGTCCCGTCCCGACCGGGACCGGGACAACCCCGGGACGGGCCGGGACACGGGACAGAAAATCTGTCCCGTTACTGTTCACCGGGACGGAACCGGGACGGGCCTGTCCCGGTCCCGAGTGAACACTCCTAATAGGAACTTCAACTCAGCATTAGCGCGATATTGCAAAGACAAGGAACTAAGCTATAGTACAGATAACGACTACTGTTCAACATAGACCCCATGACTTTGAAAAGTAGAGCAATGCACTGTACTATTGCTGTCCTTTGGGTTAATAAATGTCCTCACCCGCACACCCACTCCAACGTTTGTACAGATCAGTATTAAAAGTGATTTTATATTTGACATAAATATATAAATATATGAGAAGAGTTTTATCTATGACATTTTCAAACGCCTCAAAGTTTGAAAAGTAAGCAATTCTCTCTTATTGTCTTTTTGGTGGATAAATAAAAAAAATCTGGAAAATATCACCTCCATGACTTTTCTTGCACTATGCAATTATTGGAGCTGTAAAGAAGCTTATCTTTGTCATAAACAGACCCCAAACTCGCCATTCACACACTCAAATTCATTATCTTCTCTGTGATTTCATTTCATTTAAACGTTAAAATACTTATAGCCAAGTCATCATGGTGCTCACGTTCAAAAAGGCTGATTCAGCTCTTTATCCACTTCTGGCCTTATGACAGATTCTCTCTATGACATTCTTCTTCTGTACTTTGCTGTTCTCTAATTCATCCCTCGCTAGCAGTGAGGAAGCAAACGCTCTTTTAAAATGGAAAGCCACCCTTGGGAATCACAGTCTAGCTACCTTGTCTTCTTGGAAGAATGGAACAGATCCTTGCAGGAACTGGAAAGGAGTTACATGTGATGAATCAATGTCTGTCTCCATTATAAATCTTACCAGGTTGGGGATAAAAGGTACACTTCACAGTCTCAACTTCTCATCTTTTATTAAACTCCAAGCTTTAGATATCAGTCAGAATGAGTTTTCTGGGATTATTCCTCGCCAGATTGGTAACTTGTCTGCTTGTAGAATTCTTACGCTCAATATGAGTCATAATTTCTTGAGTGGTTCTATCCCTCGAGAAATAGGAGCCTTGACTAGTCTGAACATGCTTTCTCTTAGTGTGAATAATCTCACAGGAAAAATTCCCAGAGAGATCGGAATGCTGACTGATCTCACAGTGCTTGCCTTGCAAAGAAACACTTTCTTGAACGACAAAATCCCTTCTGCAATAGGAAATTTGACCAAACTGCAATATCTTTCTCTCTTTCGAAATAATCTGTGGGGTCTCATTCCTTCTGAGTTTGGGAATCTCCATTCTCTCATCAGTTTGCAACTGTCAAATAACAATTTGCACGGACCAATTCCATCTTCTTTTGGGAACTTGATCAAATTAGAAAATCTCAAGCTTGGAAATATTTCTCTTTCCGGAACTATTCCAGCTTCCATAGGAAATCTAACTCATCTCAAGATCCTTGATCTGAACAAGAACAAACTGGGTGGGCTCATTCCAATAGAGATGAATAATCTTACAAACTGGAAAAACTTAGAGCTTAGCGAGAATGATTTCACTGGCCATTTGCCACAACAGGTTTGCCTTGGTGGATTACTTGAACATTTCACTGCATGTGCGAATAAATTCACTGGCCCAGTTCCAAAAACCTTGAAAAATTGCTCTAGCCTTATCAGACTTAGACTTGATAACAACCGATTGGTTGGAAATATCACAAGTGACTTTGGTGTGTACCCAAATTTGAAATACATTGATTTGAGTGGCAATAAATTTTATGGCCGCATTTCATCTACGTGGGGAAAATGCTATAATCTCACATCACTTAGGATTTCCAACAACAATATCTCTGGAAGTATACCTCCAGAAGTTGGAGAGGCAACCAAACTTGGGGAATTTAATGTCTCATCAAATCAATTGACAGGAGAAATTCCAAAGGAAGTGGGAAAGATGACCTTATTGAGTAGACTTTCTTTAAGCAACAATCGATTTTCAGGCAAGATTCCAATAGAAATAGGGTCACTAAATCAACTTGAAGAATTGATGTTGTCAGATAATAATTTCACTGGCTCAATCCCCGAAGAGCTTGGAGGATTTTATAGGTTATGGCTCTTAGACTTGAGCAAAAATAAATTTACAGGAAGCATTCCCTTTGAGTTTGGTCATTTGCAGGCACTTCAAGAACTTGATCTTAGTGAGAACATGTTGTCGGGAACAATACCGGCAGCACTTGGAACACTGAAGATGCTACAAAATTTGAACATTTCACATAATAATCTCTCAGGTACCATTCCACCCCATTTTGATGACATGTCAAGTTTAACTTCTGTAGACATATCATACAACCATTTGGAAGGACCTCTTCCAAATACTCTTGCCTTTCGAAATATTACATTTGATGCAGTGAGGAACAACACAGGTTTATGTGGTAATGTCTCTGGCCTAGAACTACGCATTGAACATAAGAATGACCAACAAGGTCATTTGAATAAAAAAGAGAAGTTGTTATTGATATCATTACTATGTTTTGTTGCTTTGGTGATAGTGGCGGGTGGAATTTTCTGTATTGTAATTCGAAAATCAAAGAATGCCAAGCGTGAAGATGACAAAGGATTAACTCAGAGTCTTTTCTCCATATGGTGTTTTGATGGGGAAATTTTGCATGAAAAAGTTATTGAAGTCACAGAAGATTCTAATGACAAATATCTCATTGCGTTGGGAGCACAAGGAAATGTTTACAAGGCTGAGTTATTTGAAGGTCAATTTTTTGCTGTGAAGAAACTTCATCCAAATTGTAATACAAATCTCTCCAATCTTAAAGCATTCTCAAGGGAAATTGAAACTTTGACTGAAATCAAACATCGTAATATAGTAAAGTTACTTGGGTTCTTTTCAAATTCACGGCTATCGTTCTTGGTTTATGAGTTCTTAGAAGGTGGTAGCTTGGATAAGATTTTGAAAAATCATAAGCAAGCAATTATACTTGATTGGGATAAGAGGGTGAATGTGGTTAGAGGTGTGGTTGATGCATTATTCCATATGCATCATGGTCTCTCATGCCCTATAGTCCATCGTGACATATCAAGCAAGAACATAATGTTAGATTCGGAATTTCAAGAAGCTCATGTCATTGACTTTGGAATAGCAAGGTTCCTAGATCTTGACTCAAACAACATGACCTCATCATTCGCTGGTACCCTTGGTTATACTGCTCCAGGTGAGGCCCTCCCTTTATTCGTAGCCTAGCATCTTTGTTACTATTTTATGAAATGCAGTATACACACACACATTCCTTCTATCCTATATAAAAGATACAAATAATTACAATAAAAAAATTGATTAAAAATAACAAATATGTAAGAAATATACTTTTTGTCTAAAAATACTCTTATTTATGGAATAAGAGAGGGAGTTTGAGAGAGAAAGATAATGAGTAGAAAAAGAAGTGAGAGAGAGAGTGTACTCAACGTAACCAATGAAGACAAAAATAGAAAAAGTTGTCTAAATTTCATACATTCTTTAAGTGTATCTCACAAATAAAACTATGTGTATGCGAAAAAACCATATATCTTATATACTCCCTCCGATCCACAATATAAGCGCCTGTGAGAAAAAATACAAGGAGTCACATTTAAGTATTAATTATTGTGATGATAAAATTGAGAGATATATAAGCATTAATGACTTTTCAAATGACTTTTATTTTGGACCAAACCGACAAACTGTTGTTTTAGAAGCAGCGACTCATATTATGGATCAGGAGTATATATATGATCAGAGGCAGTGTTTGTGTAAAGTATTCTAATACTTTAACATGCATGGTGCAGAGATTGCGTTTACAATGCACGTGAATGAAAAATGTGATATTTATAGCTTTGGTGTCGTCACATTAGAAATCCTAATGGGAAGACATCCTGGGGAGCTAATTCATTCTTTGACAGAGATTCCAACATCCTATAATAACATGCCATTTAAGGATGTGTTGGACCATCGGCTGCCTCCGCCCTCAAACCTAATTGTTGAGCAAGTGATGTTGATTGCAAAGATAGCACTTTCTTGCTTGAATGAAGATCCACGTTTTCGTCCAACCATGGAACAAGTTTGTTTGGAACTTGTGAGGCCTAAACCATATTCGATGAGCCAGGTCGACAAAATCACAATTGGACAACTACTCATGAAAGTTTAATTATTAACTTCTTTAATACTCCTCTGCTTCTAAGTATAAAATCTATTTTATAATAAAATTTACGTTACAAAATGGGCCTTATATTTAGGACAGGAAGAACATATAATTACTTTCTTTACCTTACATTTTCTTTTGTCTATAATGTGAAGTCCTCTTGGTAATTTGTATTAAATGTTTATGCTATTGCATATGTTATTCACTGTGGATTTGACTTTATATATAATTTGTACGCTCTAGATATTAACATTAACAAATGTAGGAATTAAAATGGTGCAATCAGAATGTTTCAAAATTGAAGTCAACTTATTCTTTTGCTCTACTTTAAAAACTAATGCTGCCAAAAGATCGATTTAATGATAGTTAGGTTCCTTATAATTTTTAGAATATAAGCTACAAATGTTGTTTCAGATGCTTACAACTTATAAGTCTCAATTGCAGATAATTAAGTTTCGAATATAACTTTTAATTTGTAACTGAAATTTCTCTTCGCAACCATCTGAATTGATATTTACAACTCATGTTTAAAAAAAAAAAAATCAGAGATCTGACTGTCAATAAATTGTTATTTTAGGACATAAATATCGTTCTTCCATAACTCTTTAGTTAAACTTTTTGTAACACCAAAAAAAAAAAAAAGTCTTTTGCTGCACCTTAAAGATTATGCGCTGGAGAGATAATAAAAACGAGAAGTGGCATTTTTTATTTTTCTTTTATAAACTGAAATGGCTTGCCTACATATATATACATATATATATATATATATATATATATACACGTATATATCATCTTCAAGATCTGATTAACAAGAGACTTCTAAAAGAGTGGGTTTGCTAAATGCCAATAGCAAAAGGCTAAGTATAAGGGCACATGAAACAGGGAAGCTAAGATGACACGACAGAAAGTAATTTTTGAAGATTAAATTAAGCTATCTTGATAACAATCTTGAAACGTTCATGCATAGCTATCTTTTAAGACTGAGCTATATAAGTTTGACGTTAATTCCAAGTTTTTATTTAATTGTTATGTTTCTATCATTATTCCAGCTTGAAATCCCCGTCCAATTTTTACAATATTTAAACATAAGTCCCCATATCACCCCATAAAATATTCTGCAGAAAGAACTTAATTTAATCACACTTTCGTCTTCTTCCATTTGCTCTACCATTCTTTCTATTCGACAAAAATCCAAATCTCTCTCTCTCTCTCTCTCTCTCTCTCTCTCTCTCTGTATATCCTTCTCTTTTCTGCAAATAAGCATTCAAAACATAATAATCTTCTCTTTCACAAGCACAGAAATTACAAAAATGGTCATCCTTTTCTGGGTTTTGGCCTTCACGTCTGTCTTCTTTTTTGTTCTCTTGTTAACCTTCCTCCTCTTCCTGGCGGCGTCCCTCTTCGCCGGGAAGTCCATCGGAGACCCAGAATATGCTCCGGTGAAAGGTACCGTGTTCCACCAGCTCTTCTACTTCAACAAGCTCTTCGATCACCAGACAGAGACAGCAAGAACCCTAAGAACTTTCCGGCTTCTGGGTCCAGGGATGAGCGAGCACTACACCACCGATCCGATGAACGTGGAGCATGTTCTAAAGCGGCGATTCGAGGAGTACTCGAAGGGGAAGTACGACCAGGAAATCTTAAGGGATCTGTTCGGAGAAGGGATCTTCGCGGTGGACGGCGAGAAATGGAAGAAGCAGAGAAAGCTGGCGAGCTTTGAGTTCTCCACCAGAGTTCTTAGGGATTTTAGTAGCTCTGCTTTCAGAACCAACGCTGCTAAATTGGTTCGACTTGTCTCGGGATTTTCTGAGAAAGGTCTGGTTTTGATATGCAGGTAGGTCTTTTTTTTTTTTTTTTGGGGTTAAACTTCAAATATTTTCCTGGAAAGTTTGGAAAGAAAATAAGAGAAAAGAGGAGGGTTAGAATATTATTCCCTCAAAAAGAAGTGAATCCAGATATAACATCTCCTTAGCCGCTTTGTCGAAGTCAAAATTTCATTATGTGTGCGTTTAATAGGTAAACATCCTTCAGCATGTTATTGCGTGTACATTTTTAGTTAATTCTATATGGTTTTAATGGATTTAATTTAGATAATTTGACTTTTTAATTATTTTTAAATTTTTATTTAAATTATCTTTTTAGGATAGTGGTTTTAAAATTTAGCTTTTTTATCTTCTTCCTTCAGAATAAAAAATATTAAAACCAAAAAATAGGATATAAATGATCTATACTAAATTTTAATGATTAGGAAAATTGCACATATATATTCAATATGTATGAACTGCAGACAAAGGAACTATGTTATGATTTACTCTTATGCCGGCACTCTTAGTATTGATAGCAAGACATGCATGCACACACACAGATATATATATATATATATATATATATATCCATAACATACATAAAGGGGATAATTAGTTTCACAAGATCCAATTATAGTTTAATTTAATTTTTTATATCAAAAAAATTTTTAATTTAATTTTAAGAGTTAAGGTTCATCCAATGCTTTCAAGTTTTTTTTTTGGGTGTTGGATTTGTTTATTTAGCACATTGAGGTATTTTTCTAAGTGTGTTTAGCACCTTAATATGAGAGCAAAATTGCACTACAAATGTTTTTAGGTGCTGGGTAAATCATAAAATATTTTACAGTGCTCAACACCTCTGAAAAAATGTTTCAGTTGTGTGTGTGTGTCTCTCTCTCTCTGACATTTATGTAAAGAGATACACGCGCACATAAATCTGCGGATATACATATATAGAGTGTGTTGTTTTTGTAGGATATATTAATGAGGTGCACGTTGGACTCGATATTCAAAGTAGGGTTTGGAGTGGAACTGAATTGCTTGGAAGGAACAAGCAAAGAAGGGAGCGAATTCATGAAGGCGTTTGATGAGTCAAATGCGTTGGTTTATTGGCGTTTTGTGGATCCATTGTGGAAGATCAAGAGATATCTTAACGTTGGCTCTGAAGCTGCGCTCAAACAAAATGTCCAATTCATTGATCGTTTTGTTCATCGACTCATCGCCACCAAGAGACATCACTTGGCAATGCACCAACATCATGTAAGTTTACTTGTAGTCCTTAATCTAGAACCTAATTAAGGAGTTGATATTGATTCTACATGTAAGACATATTTTACAAGTTTTTCATCTTTTTTTCAAATTAACCCTATTGATATTTTCTCAATAACAATTAAGTAGGAGAGGAAGGGAGGAAAAGAATTGAGAAAAATGCTTAGGATGTTTCTCAATAACAATTTAACTAATATCTTTAATATACTTAAATTAGTTAATTAGGTCTCACATTAAGAATTAAAAAAGTATTAAAATTATATTCCCTTCTATCATAAATATAGAATCTGGCCCGATAACTAATGCTTTTGTCGGTACGGAAAGGTAGTCTTCTTACCCATATTCAAGTTAACCGATAGTGCAACGGATTCTGTAAGAGCAGATAGAAGGAATTTGATTGACATCAGAGAATAAAATAATTAGTTAAACTAGTTATTCATTAAAAAAAATACGATTAAGGTGCACCTAACATCCTATTTTTTCAGTAGAGCACTCAATATTTTAAACTAATTTGTGATTTATCCAGCAGCACCATAAAATATGTTTTAGTGTAGCACTCAGCATTCTGAAGTATTTTGATGCAAGTTTTATCATCAAGTATTTTCCTAGCAGCAACGAGTACCCTAAATTTAGGATACTTAGTGATATTTGAAAAATCTATTCTTTAACATGCTGGATTAAAAAAAAACGATCTACTAAAAAAATATTTGTAGGATAACGAGTGTTACTAAAAGAATATTTTAGGGTGCTGAGTGAGCAAAAAATTAATCTAGATATTAAGTGCTATTAGAAAAATACTTTAGGATACTAGATTTAATTTTTTTTTATTGGTGAAAGGATACTAGATGTTATTTAACCCTTATAAAAAAATGTGTCTATTGCATTCATTTTAATCATTTGCATTGAGAACTACTTTTTTGATTAAAGAAAAACCTTTTTAACTATGTATGATCAATAGGAAGATTATAAATTTAAGAGATCAGACAAAAATAGATTAAAATTTTATATTAAAACCAAAGCAAACTCCTCTATATAGCTTTTACATTTATGATCAAAAGGAGTATTTTTCAATGTTGATTCCATATTTGAGGAAGATTATTTCTGAAACGAACATGAAAACATGAATTTTCTTTTGCTTTTGGTGGGTATCAGAATGAGAAAGAGGACATCCTATCTAGGTTTTTGATGGAGAGCAAGAAGGAGTCAGAAACTATGAACGATAAGTATCTAAGAGACATAATTCTGAACTTCATGATTGCTGGCAAGGACACAAGCGCCAACACTCTCTCATGGTTCTTCTACATGCTCTGCAAGAACCCTCTTGTTCAGGACAAGATTGCTCAAGAAGTGAGAGATAATGTCACTTGTAATGCACAAGAAAGCAAACCCAACATCGATGAGTTTGTGGCCAATATAACAGAAGCCACTCTTGAGAAAATGCACTATCTACAGGCAGCACTTACAGAAACCTTAAGGCTTTACCCTGCAGTTCCTGTAGTAAGTTCTATATTACTTATCTCCCTGAATTCATTAAAGTTCTCTAGATCTGTGCCGAACAGAAAATATACAGCTTCATTTAAGTAATGATGACATGGGTATAATAGAGATTGCACTTATGTTTTAATTGAATTCCCTGCAATGGAGTCCAATCCCAGTTAATAATTTCCATCAAAGCCACCAAGACTCTGATAAACTTTTCGAGCATTCAATATAAACTAGATCGTACGTAAAACATGCATGTTCTTCGCACGAAATTTGAGATTAGTCAAATACTAGTAATACATGGCTTTCCATTTATAGTATATACTACCTCCTGTTCTAATATAAGAGCTTATTGACTTTTATTTTAGTCCTCCTAAATAAAATCCAATCTATTTTGTCTCTCATATTTATCTATTTTTTCAAGATAGTCATTGTAATAACAGTAGGTTT